TTGGGGGGGGGGGGGGTCCCATGTGGAGTGGCAGTACCTGAGACCTTGTGATGTGGCTCCTCTAAGCATCTGTGCTCAAGCAGGTAGAGCCTTCTAAGACGTTTAAGAAAACTGGCTTCCACTGTGCAGTGGATTTAGAGGAAGCTCCAGACATGGGTTGCAGGGCTCCGCTAATGATTTGTATGAAAATTGTCTCTCATCTGAGTAGAATCAGGTCAGCAAGGTCCCCTGCTTGGGCACTGAGTGTAGAAAGCCAGAAGGTGGACCTTCTGGGCCCTGTGCTCACCTGTCTCTCCTTAGAGGTGCGGAACTACATCTGTGATGAGTGTGGACAGACCTTCAAGCAGCGGAAACACCTCCTCGTCCACCAGATGCGGCACTCGGGAGCCAAGCCTCTGCAGTAAGTGTGACCGGGTGTCTCCTGGTGGCCACACAGGCACCCAGATCCTCGCTCACTTCCCCCGTCCCCTAGGTGTGAAGTCTGTGGGTTCCAGTGCCGGCAGCGGGCATCCCTCAAGTACCACATGACCAAACACAAGGCTGAGACGGAGCTGGACTTTGCCTGTGACCAGTGTGGCCGGCGGTTTGAGAAGGCTCACAATCTTAACGTGCATATGTCCATGGTCCACCCTCTGACGCAGACCCAAGACAAGGCCCTGCCCCTGGAGCCATCGCCCAGGACCACAGAGGGTCAGGCTGTGAAGCCTGAGCCCACCTGAGGGTGCTCAGCACCTGAACTCAACAGGTGGTAGGTGGGGTGGAAGGACGACTTTCATAGTTCCTCCCATGAGACCTGAAGGCACAGCTGGGCTCACTCTGAGACCCCATGCTGAACCTCACCCCTGTGCTGGAAGGTGGGGGGCTCAGTGCAGGGCCGAGGTAGCCTTTCTGCATCCAATCTGGGACCAGCAGTTTATTTTCCTATAAACATGGACTTGGGGCCAGATACAAATTTTAAATAGAGTCCTGTTCCTCACGCAAGCAGTCACGGAGATTTGTAATCCACTTTTTCGTGCAACAAGAGCTCCACGTCATGCTCGTAATAAATTATTTACAAAGGAGCAGTGTGTGTGCGGGTCCAGTCAGAAGAAGCAAGGCTCCTGGGAGAGGTCAGTGTCCTGCACGGCCCGCTGCCTGCTCAGGAGGGCAGCACTCACTTCGGGGTCACAGTCTCCACGAGTGGCCAGCAGCTGCAAGAAAATACCATGCTCAGTGCAGCACGGACCCAACACCAAGGCACGGGGAGGGAAGCTGGTGACTAGAGCTGACCAGAAAGTGGCCATGTGTTGGGCCTCCGCATGCTCACACTTACATAGTGATTTGGATTATACACAAACACCATGGGGAGAAAACACCGTGGTGAACATTTAGGCGTTACCTCTGCCACGTTAGAGAAGCTCTTTCTGGAGCACCGAGGTATTGATTGCAGCAAAAAAAGACGAGCTTTTGTTATCAGGCCGACAGGGCAGCCCTAGAGAGAACAGACAGAGCCACAGTCAGGTGCCCACACGTGTGCCAGGAGGGGCCGTCACCTGAGAGCTTGCCACGTGGGCCCGTGGGATGTGCCATCTGCCCCTTGGGTTGTAGGATGTGGGCCCGTGGGATGTGCCAATTGCCTGGACAGCCCACCCTTTCACCTGCCTGGCCCTGGAGCTCCTGGGTCCTGCTGGCCAGAGTTGAGAGTACAGCTGTCTCCCCGGCTACGAAGAGGCAAAGCAGCTTGAGATACATGTCCACTGCTATGTGCAGGAAGGCATCATCCTGGGTGAGGGCGTCTTCGTCAAAGTAGGAGAGGAGGCTGATGGTGAGAATAGATGTCAGGTGACACCAAGACCTCCCAGAGAAGGACAGTTGGCACAGGAAGTTCCAGGCCATCTCTGCCATCCGGAGGGAGACCCACTGTGGCCCGACCAGAACAGGGAGTTACCTGTAGAAGGCGACTGGCAGCAGCCTGACATGCTGGTCCGGGGCCAGGAGGAGGAGGAGGTGACCCAGGCCGGCATCTACAACCCAAGGGGCTCAGTCAGCCCTGGCTGCCACCCCCCCGGACCGGTGTCTTCAGAGGACCTTGTGTACCTTTGTGGGCCAGGCAGGTGGACCCCCACATGATAGCTCAGTGCCACCCTGGGGTCCTCGGTGCTCCACTAAATTCTTTTATACGCTTTTGTCCTGATGAAAATGTAGGGCTTATATGCTTTGCAAGAAGATAACCATTTGAAAGTTGCTTCTGAAGGGACTCAAATGTCAAAAGCCACAGTCGGACCCTGCTGGGTCAACTGCGCTCCTAGCCAATGGCGGATGACTAGAGACCATTGGCTATCAGGTCTCAGTGGATTTCTTACCTGTCTCTGTCAACCGAAAGAGCGGCAGCCAGGGCACCTTCCTCTTCTCCAAACACCCCAAGATCTCGGCACAGATGTCCAAAGCCGTCAGGCAGTTGCCAGCCTGTGACCCACAGAAGAGGAAGAATGACTCGGAGGCAGTGGCTGCAGAGCTGAATGTTCTTGCTGGGTTCAGAGCTGGGCACACGTGGGGAAGAGGGACAACCCTCTTCACAGAAGGGAGCCTTTCCTTGTTACAGAGTGTGTCGCTCAAGGCCTCTGATGGAGGGAACTCCGGCAGGAGGAGGTGGCCAGGGACCCTGGGGCCCAAGTGCTGAAATAAGACATCAAAACAAAGTTCCAAGGCCGAGGAGCTCCCACTCCAGTGAGCACAGGACTCCCCCCACCCTGACCCAGGAGGGCTGGGCCCCTGAGGATCTGCAGCTTCAAGAACCTGGGGAAGAACCCTGAGACATGAGGGATAACATACGTGTGGGGTCAGGTATGTCGACAGCAGGCCCATCAAGGAAAAGAAAAACAGGACAACCAGCAGCTGCAAATACAAACAGGGACACTTGCAACGTGAAGTCATCCTTGCTGTCCCCACAGCGCAGTCCTAGGTGTGGAGCAGCATTCCTCATCACCACTTATAGGCCCAGGACACGCACTTTTCCTCTAAGTGGATCTTCTCAGAAAGAAAAATTCCCACTTTTAAGCAGAAATTAATTGTGTAAATTACTGACTGGATCATTTTTATGCTTGTCTTTAAACCAGGCTATTGCCAGGGGTCTCCCTGGTGTGTGCGTGTCCCCACGACAGGTAGCTCATCTGTGCAGTGAGCCACCAGCTCAGCCTCGTTCCCTGGCTTTGTGTCCAGAAATGTTTGTAAAACTCTGGTGGTAAACCCACAGCTACATCCCGCCTCTCTGACCCTGACCGCAGGCACACCCAGGCTGGATGGCGCCTCTGTGGACCCTGTCCTGTCCCCTTGGTACACCAGGCCTTCCAGCAGAACCACCTGAAAACAATCATGGAAGAATCTTATTTGTAGGTTTTTTACTTTAAATTATAATCACCAAAAATAGATTGGCTCAGCAACCGATTTAGTTGCACAGCAGGTGGACACGGGCTGAGCTGACAGGTGGCCTCGAGTGCCCTGGCTACAGGCAGTCCCACAACTCCCAGGAGGGACATTTCAAGGTGCCAGCCTGGACTCAGCACCTGCCCTCCACCTGCCCTGTCTCTCGGCCTGTGCCTAACTGTGGTGCATGTGAACCGAGGGTGTGGAAATGGACACCAGGTTCCACTGGACAGTGGACAGCCCTGCCCGGGGTTGTGATGTGAATAAGAAAAAGATCAATGAAAGCACTTCAAAAATGAAACTAAGATATTCTTTTTACTAATAAACTTGAGAGTCAAAGTCTTATGAAATCTTAAACCCAGCAAATTTTACTTTCCAATAAAGTGTCAGAATCTCCAAACTTCCTGTCTGTGCTTGGGAAAGCTCAGTCGTTAGGTGAGCTCTGAGAAACACCACTGACCAGAACACCGACAACGGGCCTGCTGGGGAGGGAACGAGAAGAGCCGTCCTTGCCTCCTCCGTGGGGCAGCGCAGCCTCTCCAGGCCTCTCCTCAGACTCCCTTTCCCAGCTTGTTGAATCGCAAAGTGCAGCGCAGCAGCGGAGACCCAGGCCGGGCCCGAGGTGGGGGACACTGTGTCAGGGGACTCTGTGTCGGGGGACAGGAGGCTGGGAAGAAGAGAGATGTGTGTCATCACAGGAGCCTGTCAATCAAGTGACCACTGAAAACCTAAGGTCCTTGTTCCCAAAACTGTCACAGTGCAGACCCACCCGCCTAGGGTGAGCCACGAGGGGCTCAGAGTCGGCAGAAACAGCCTGCAGAGCCCAAGCCTGTCATGGGCTCATCCTTGGTTTAGGGTCCAGTTTCTGGTTGCAGCATGCCTGTGCCCTGGACACGAGGCGCGGTAGGACCTGACCAGGGCACTGGTCCCAGTGCCTGAGCTGAGGCCCATGGCCCACAGTCTGCGGCTCGGACCCTACTGACTGCGGTGCTGCTCAGAAAGGTTCTGCGGCAGGTGAAAAACAGGCTGGAAATTCATAATGGGATGGAACGCACTATCTACTCTGTAGAAGGAGGTGGGTGGGCAGGACTTGCCTTCCTTGTTTCCTGAGCAGATTTTGAGCACCCTGACCCTGCAGGGAGACAGGTGCACATCAGGGATAAAAACGAGAGTCACAGAAATGAAAGGCGGCTAGATGGGGACTTAAGATTCCTTCAGTGACCTCACAGCATCCCACATCCAGCAGGATACTGGAGACCGTTGGCCCAGCAGTCCCAGGAGAGTGGGTCAACCAGGTCACTCAGGCTAAGAAACCTGAACAGGGTTTAACTGACTACTTAGGCTGAAATCGGTCTTTCCCAAAACATTCCTGAATTCTCACTCAGGGACCTGTCAGATCAGTTCTGCCGCTGGGTCCTGTAGCACCTGCCCAAAGGCACCCTGTGAACACCTTAAGGTATCCATGGAGATAACCCAGAGCACTTTCTCCCCACACCCCACTGTCAGCACCCACCTGCTGGCAAACTGCCAGGCGTCACGCAGCCTCTGCAGCTCTCGGGGCAGTGGGCTCTGGAAGCACCTCCACCGACAGAGAAGCTCGGGCTCTAGGCGCAGCCACCACAACTGCCGGAGAGAAAGGTCACAAATCAATAGATCAAGGCCCTGAGGTTGGGGCAAGAGCGGTACGTCCACTCCACCAGCTGACACCACCCCCAGCCCGGCTCACATCTACCTAACACTTCAGAAGGTCATGGGCAACATCTCGTGCACTCCATCTCAGGAAGGCTCAGAGCCGTTCCGTGGGGCACCCTCATCTGCCTGTGCCAAGGACATGGATTGGAAACCAGAAGCCTTGCCTAAAGAGGTGCCTGTGCGTGGAGTCGGCCACAATGTCAAATAGCTCAGCCAGCACCCCAATGTCCCCACTGAGCAACACGGGACAGGTCACCCACTGAGCTACAGGGGAAACGCCACCATTGCCTGTGAAGTAGCTCAAGTTCCACGCTGTTAGTGTCAGAATCCCACCAGAGAGAAGGAGAAGGGAGAGAGAAAGCTGTGTTGTCAGGGTGCTAAGACAGCCAGCTACGGCACCCAAAGGTCCCACCCAAGGCCTCTGGCAGAGGCTGAGGTAGCCTCTGTTCATCCTGAGACAGCACCCAAGACGGCAGATGCAGCGAACACGAAGTTACACCCACAGGAGAGCACAGGCCGATACCGTCCAACCTCAGCCAACGCTGAACAGCAGGTGACTGAGCCAATGTCCAGGCACATGGCGGGAAGGCTGCTCCTTCACACTTGTGTGTCCATGCTGCCTGAGGCAGGCCCAGGGTGGCAGCCAGGGGGACCTGTCACCCCACCTGTGTCCTGACATATTCTCCCTACCCCCACTTCTCCCCAAGTTTTTTCTCTTGAATTATAGTAACTGGGATGAGATTTTAGTGGGAAACAGACAACACCTCCAGCAGGAGAGCTGGGCCTACCAGAGCAGAGGTTAAAACCAAGGGGCACTCGGTCTGACAGGTGGTCAGGATCTGGTTGGCTGTCAGGGCGGGGTCTCTGCTTCGGGAGCAGGCCTGGAGGAGCCCCTATAGAAGAGAATGTGCCAGAAGTTTAGCGGTTTGCACGTGAACCCAAGCCCTGAAAGACACTGTGGCTTCCCA